AGAATTTTGCCTGGGTGGCAGAAATGGACATATTGTAATGGTTTATTATATGTGAATAGCAGTATGTGGGTTAATATATCTTACTCCGCAATTAATATATATAAAAATAAATTTGATCATAAAATATTCGAATTTCTTAGTTGTTCCAAAGATCCTGCAATTGTCTATAGTTACCTGAACGGTTACTTATCGTCATTAGTAGATTTGTTTTTTGAGAGTGATAAAGCATCAGAAAAAGTAAAACGTAATAAAATGAATACTTTGGAGATTAATATTTTTATTTCTACTATTGCGAGACATGTTAAGAACGAAGCAATATTTAAACGAGTATTGAAAAATTTCACGTATTTAATTTACATGATATATTTAAAATATCCATATAATACATTTGGGTAAATATAAATTTCTCGTGAGCTTTTTTTTTATAAAAATATTTTGTCAATTATAAATTTTTACATATTTTTTTTTTATGTAGAACAACCATCACGAATGCAGCATTAATTGTTATGATTAACAATGCATATTCCCAGAAGCAAATTTCTGAGGTAAATTTTAAAAATTGATAAACTTTTTATTTTTGTATTAATTTTTTATCAAAATATGTCATATATCTTAGACATATGTAATAAACAATTTTTTTCTTTTTCTTTGTAATACTTCATATATATATATATATATATATATATATATATGTATATATATATGGATATAATTATGCTAATAGTTTAAAAAATTGTCGTATTTTCGTTTTATAAAATAAATTTATTTTAGATAAAAGAATTTGCACTCAATCATATGAAATTATATTTGAATATTAAAAACAAGTTAAAGATACGTTCTGAACAACTGGTCAGTCAGGTGAAATTTTATGAAGATATATATGCAAAGATTGCAAAGTCTTAATACATCTAATTATATCGCTAAAAGTTTAACTTCAACAAATACACCAACAATATTTCAAGTAACAAACTATTTATACATACATATATATACATTATGTGTACTGTATATATGTATATCTATTAAATATTAAATAGTAAAACGCAGATGTTTAGCAAATATTACATATTAATATTAATTTATAAGAGATATAAACTATATAAAGTATAATTAATAATTTATTAATTTTTTACATTAGTATTGCTATAAGTGTTATTATTACTGTATTACTATTACTTTACTGTAGTATTATTATTACTCTATTATTAGTATTACTATTTTTATTAATTTTGATTATTATTGTTTTAATATTAACACATTTATAATGTTATATATATTAATAATTTTAATTCTATTGTAATATAACAAATATTATAATAACGAGATTTAATGTAATATTAATTGTAATCCTAAATTTTTATTTTGAATGTCTTAATTATATTTTCTAAAAAATTTTTTTATATTTTTTAAATATATGTATAATACATTTGAATATTATTGTCATACAAATTTTTTTATATACATAAACACTTTTTCTATCTTAATACTTTTGTATTTTAAATTTCATTACTACTTCTTCTTGAATTAATTTTTATCTCATGTTATATTCTTTTTCACTATTTTCTTTTCTATTACAGTTTTTTAATAATAAAATAAGATAAAATAAAATCAAAATGTGTAAATAAATATATTTTCTTTATATTTATTAATGAGAAAAGTAAAATATATAAAATTAAAAAAAATAAAATTTATATCTCTAAACATATTCTAGTATTATATTTGAATATTTAATACGCGTATTTTTAATAAGATAATTCTAGAAAAAAAAAAGTCAAGATAATATGAAATTAAAGAAACCATATTGTGAGTCACCAATTTCGTTTGAAACACATTGAATTTGGAAATTTAGATTTTTTAGGGTATTAATTACTAGATGGTACTGCTTAAGTTTAAAAACAATATTATTTTAAAAAAATTAAATGATTAAGTAAGGTGAATAAATTTTAATTGTTTTTAAAAATTTAAAACGACATATACAAGGTGTTCCAGACTTAACGTGCCATCCGTTAATGGGATATTCCTGAAACCATTTGAAAATGAAAATTCTAATACTAAAATGTCGAAGCTGCATTAGTTTTCAAATGAGCAGTTATAAAAGTTTATAATTGGCTAATCAAAAATCGTCCGAAATTCGCAAATATTAAATATATAATTATTAACAATAAGAAAATAATTGAAATCAATAAGTAAGTATAAAATGTGTATTAATTTTTATATATCTATTATTAATATATTATACAACAATATTTTATACTTACTTATTGATTTCAATTTTTTTTTATTGTTAATAATTATATATTTAATATCACAAATGATAAATTAACTTTTATACTAATTTATTTTAATATTTATATAAATATTGATTACATTTATATAATATTTATTATGTAATATGTATACACATGCATACATACATATATACATATACACAAAGTTTTATATATTAATTATGTATTTAAATCTGTAAGAGTAACGAATATTATATTAATGAGATTAAAATGTAATAATAAATTTAATGTCAAAAATATATATTCTCGTATGTTTATTCGGCACCTTCTAAGAAATCTTTTCATATTTTCTTAAATGCATAACTTTGGCGAATAATATTGCCGATAATTTAGTGTTTATAAATCAAACTTCCTTTATGTAAAAATATTTTATTACTTAAGACTGTGCTTTTTAAAACTAATTTTTATATAATCATATCTTATTAAACCATTTCTATTTTATTTACTAATCGCATGTACCATTATAATAGAAAGTTTTATTTTATCAAAATGAAAACGTTTTTCATTAAATTTAAGTACAGTTTAACTTTTTAAAGAAATAAATAAGAAACAAAAATCCGATAAAAATAGAAAAATATGAAATAATGTACATGTACAAAAATTAGTGAAAATTAAACAATACTCATTTCTTAATGTATGAAAATTTCTGATTGGATTTCTTGTACGCTTAATTTTGAGACAATTTTAAATGTTAAATTCAAAGTATATGTTGGAAACTGTTCAATCTTGTTTTAACTTTCATCGATCGAGTAATAATCAAACAAGTCTCTTATATTATTACGCGTGTAACTTTATAGATTTATATATGTAAATATTTCATGTCGTATCGCAAACGTTGTCAGTCATCGATAGTCTCTCGAGAAAGCAAGATTAAAATTGAGCAACACACTTTTGGCTAAAATAACGCCTGTGATTCAACAAACAAAAGGCTAAAGGTCTGTGAAATATATAATATTTTAATATTTTTTTGTAATAAATGTATATAAAAGATGCAAAAAGGACACAATTGCAGAGTTTTTGTTTTTTAAAGAATATTTTATTTCATTTCTAAGAAAAAATAATATTTTTTATTTCAACTATCTCTATATTCAATTATCTCTATATTCTCTGCATAATATATTTGAAACCTTTTCAGTTTTGTAAAAACATTTTTTAATTTGTTTCATCTTATAACAAATTGTGTATACTTGTTTAATTTATTTTACCTCAAAAGGATATCGATAATTAATGCTTTTTGTAACATTATTGCAAAATTAAGTAAATGCTTTTTGTAATATTATTGAAAAATTAAATATGTCATAATTATGAAGAAAGGAACAAATATAAATTTTAATTTTTTTCTAAAAAAGTGGTTCTACAATAATAAATATTGTCTCTTTTTAAGTTCAGATTAATTTGTCATAAGACGATATAAAGACATAATTTGAATTGAGTTTAATTTTGCGACAGCTAATTCGTTATCCGTTTTTTGGAACTAAACATTACACATACAGTGACACATATAATATGATGACAAAACATATTGATAAACAGCTGAAAATACAACGGTTAAAATTTAGTTATTAAAGATAAGATATTATTTTATACATTTTTGTGCAAAATTTATTTATTATATTTTCCGATTATAACATTTATAAAAAATCAAATTGATTTATAAAAAATATTAATCAAATGTTTATAAAAAATATTAAATAAACAAGTTTTTATAGACATTTCAATTTGAAAAAAATAGAACAATATAGCTTAAATATAAACAATATACACAACTTCCCTTTTATAGTGTAAATTATTTAATATTTGGTATTACAACTTACATTTATTATATTACATTAGTATTTACAATGGTTATTCTAATTTATCATTTATAATTTTAGTATTTAAATAGTATTATATATATATATTTTTTTTTACTTAATAATTCTATTTACTTATAAACGATTTATGTTTTACAATATACATTATAAATTAATCAGCCATTGGTCTATATAATATTGGAATTTAAAAAATTTAATTGTCAAAATTGAATATTATACATTATTAATAGAATTTATAAAAAATTTTTTAAATTAAAATTAACATACATTGCGTAGTCAAAGTAGATAAACTATATTGTTCATACAAACTCTTTGTTAAATTGATAACCTATATGTATTTATAAATTGGTGTATTTCTTTTGCAATTTTTAACTTGTGTTACCTTACTTATGTTTTCTGTTTAATTCTCTTATTACTAGCAAAGAAATTTAATTTGTAGTTGATTATTATTATTAATGATTATAAATACGCATTATTTAAATATTTGAAAAACTTTTTTCTTTTTATTTTTTTTTATTTTCTTTATTTTAGATTTCTATAATTTTTATTTCATAAAGATTTTGTTTCGTGTTTTTGTTAAAAAATTTTAATATTTTAATATTTTAATATATATATTTTTATTTTAGTTTATTAATTTTTTAGTCTAGGTTCCTTATTTTTTTTGCAATTCTATTTATTTGACTCTTTGAGTTTCTATTTTCGTTTTATTGTTTTTTTTATACTTCTATAGCAGTCGCGATATTATGCATATTTTCTTTCCACGTTCCTTATTTGTTTTTTTGTTTAATTATTCTTACTATTAGCAAAGAAATAATTTTTTATTTTCAGATTTTTGAAATCCAATATGATGTTTCTAGAATGGTCATTAAATATATTATTATACATTACTGTAATAACAATGGCCACTTTTACCAATGAAAACGCAAAAATTCCGTGCCATACAGTACCTAATTACCGTAATTCATCGAACAACGACTGTATAATGCCGATTCATTACAACCTGGATATGATAGTGTTACCAGGCATTTCATTCATTGGCGAGTTGAATGCCACTTTTTATATTAATTGTGAAATATCAAACATAACTCTACATATTGCAAGATCCGAGCATATAGTGAAAGTGATGCTTAAGTCGCCTAATGGAACAATCTATACTCCAAATTTTGATTATTCGAGAAATTTTGCTACTTTGAATTTCATTAAATATTTATCGCCTGAAAATACACACTTAGATTGTGGAGTTTATACAATGTACGTAAAATATGAAATCATATTTGTTCATCGGCATTATGGAATGTACTATATAAAAAAGAAGATAGAACAGATAAAGAGTAAGTATATTAAAATAATAAAAGTAGTATATAATAATTAATACATGAGTAAACATGTAATAATAAAAATACGCTAATATTTATATACACATATATTATACAATGTTGTATACTTAGATGATTTTAAAATTATCTAGATGAAAGTGAGATAAAAATCTGATAAGATATATATATTAGATTATAGAATTTATATATATCTAGATAAAAGATAAAGTTATATTGTGAATCATGTAGATAACATTATTTTTAAAATCGCTTATGTAAAGAGTTATACAGCTTATAAAAACAATGTAAATTATAAAAGAGATATATAAAATATATTCATTTTTTTATTTGTACGTTTTTATCGCTCACTGCTTAAATTTTACTACTAGATGAGTATATATATGTATGCGCGTATGCGTGCGCGCGTGCGTGCGTACGTGTGCGTGCGTGCGTGCGTGTGTGTGTGTGTGTGTGTGCTAGGACTCTAAATCAAATTATCTAAACATTATTCTAGATATAATTAAATAAGAATAACATTATTTTCATCTAAGGTGCATAGATATGGATAATATATATTTTTAGTAGTTATATGAAATTAAACTGACATTAAAATTTTATTTAGATCATTTGTATTATTATACGTACAATTAGATAACAGAAAACATTCTGATGATATACTTTTTATATATTATTTATAAATTTCTCTGGTACATTCTGCAATTTTTAATGTTCTTACACAACAACTGTAAAAACTTGTTGTTATTATAATTTAAAGCTTTTTACTTCAAAATATAGGTTTCTATTCGCAAATTTACTCCAACCGAGAAATGCTCGACAATTATTTCCGTGTTGGGACGACCCAAAACTGAAAGCAACTTTTAACATCACCGTCAAATTCGATACGAGATACAATGTTATATCGAATACGATACCAATAAAAGTCGAAGTTTCGTATAACGGGATGAAACGTTTACTGTTCAACATGACACCTAAAATTTCTGTAAACGATGTCACGATTATAATGTTCAATTTGCAACCAGATTCTCTTTCCAAGATAAACAAGATCTATTTTTGGAGCAAATGGGATTTGATACCTTACATGAAATGGGCGCAATATGTTGCTGGAAATGTAAGCATGTATTTAGAAAACAATTGGAGGATTATTTCGAGAAGCGAGCCAAAAATGGATTATGTAGTTATTCCGATAGATTTAACCGAGTATAAAAGGCGGAATTGTGGAGTAATTTTATTCAGGTAATACATTATTCAAATAAAAATAATTTTAATTATAGTTTAATAAAGTTATAATATTTTTTTTAGCTTTGTAAAGATTTATTATAATGCCGAAGCATAAATTTTTCTACACTAATTATTTGAATTTTGGCTTACTTAATCAGATATACATATATGTAACAGAGTAGTAATTATTCAGTAACGTTAATACGCTACTGAATAATCACTATTTTAATATACCTTACAGAAAAAAATGGTACAAGACTTTTCGACTCAGTTTTCTACGAGGAATATCGCCATATAAATATTGGGTGTCAATTAAGTGACACCCTGTATACATATATATGACTGCATATTTATGAGTTTATTTAGTCTAAATTTCAAATTTTAAATACATATATATATATATATATATATAACATATATTGATATTCAAATTAATTTAGATAAGTTATTTTAATAAATTATCGTAATCAGTTAAATGTTATAGTTAAATTACAGAAGAACTTAGATATATCACGTAATAGTCATTTGATATATAGACATTTAATATTTAATAATACTTTACTTTTTGTGTATCATTAAAAATTTAAATTATTAATTTGGAAACTTTATATATATATATATATATATATGTATATATTATATTACAAATAATAACAATCTAATAATATAATATAATTATATAATATAATAATAATAATAATAATAATAATAGTAATAATAATAATAATATAATAATATAATATTATTAACTTTTAAAATATTTTGATATAAATTATTTATTTACAAACAATTTTCAGCCAAACAAATATTATCTACAACGAAGAATTTTATCCTGTTGCATTTAAAACTTTAGCAATGCGTTCAGTAGCTCATAATATATTACATTATTGGTTTATTAATTTCTTCTATTCGTTATGTCGATCTTTCTGGTGGTTGAACAAAGGCTTCATTGTGTTCCTCGAATCATATATCATCGATAAGGTTGTTTCATATTTATTAAGCTAATTAGAAAAAACTCTGTTATTTAAATTTTTATTATATATAAACTATTAAAAAATATATTAAGTGTAGTTAATAAGTACATGTAAATTATATTATTATAATTTAAATAAATTTTGCACACAAACACACAAATAAATATTTTAAATACAGTACCTTCCACAAGTTTGGAAACACCTTACATTTTACAGTTAAACAATCTTATGACAGCGATCTGTGCAGATTTTTTGTATGAATAAATTGTAAAAAAACGTAAAATATTTGAATAACATTTATATTTATAACAGATCGCTGTTATACAATTGTTTAACTGTAAAATGTAAGATGTTTCCAAACTTGTGGATAGTATATGTACTGTAATAATATTTGTAATAATATGTTTATTTCAAATTATTACATATTACTCATCAAAATTTTATAAAATTATTTAAAATTATAATATCTAATATATAAAAATGCTTTAAATAATATAATAGTTTTATTAAATATAAAAGGTTTTTCTAGAAATAACAAATAATTGTACACATTAATAAACATTATTAATCCAATCTCGTTTTTCTTTCTGCAGATATATCCAGATTCTCGGATGATGGACTTGTTTGTAGTTCAAATTCGAGATGATTCTCATTATTTATATCCATTTGCTGTAGATTATTTTAAGGAAAATTCTAACTATATGTTTAAAATTAATTCACCTTCTCCGTTTTCTTATACTGTAGGTATGTTTGTATGTGTATTTGATTTATGTAATGTAATTTGATTGGTATAAAGTATATTTACAAATACATTAATAAAATTTGTAAATAATTTGTAAACAATAGTCGGAATGGCTGACTATAAATATCTAAGAAAAGATAAAAAGTTTTAAATTTACAATCATTTCTGTTTATGTTTATTCTGCTAAAAGTAAAAGGAAATTAAATTTAAAATTAGTTCTTTTTTTATTATATTAGTTTTTAATAGTTCTGTTTATGAATTTATGAATATGATGGGTGTTAAATTTGTAAATAAATGTGTATATATATATTTTTTTTTTTAAACATATTTTATATTTATATTATAGGAGCAGCTTTATGGCGCATGTTAGAAAGAATAATTCCATCTAACGTATTTTGGACAAGTATTGACAAATATTTAAACAGAAAGTAAGTAATACTTACAATGTAATATAATAATATTAGTTTATAAAAAATTTTTTTATTTTTTATTCTCATTTAGATGGTGTTTTTTTCAAATTTTCAAAAATCTTATAAAATTATGGAAACAATTTTATGCTGAAAACGATGACGTAAACCAATTTTTACCAGTACGTCAGGTTTTTGAAATAATTGAGATTTATTATGTAAGAAATAGTTTTTGTTAAATAATTAAAATTTTTTAGATAATATGATTAACATTAGTTGGAAATTTAGCAAAACTCTGTATTTAAATCCTTTTCAACACGACTGAAAAGTAAGATATTGAAATACGAATGATGTGTATTATAAGGAATGAACTATCGTTCATCCTCCCCTTGATATGATGATCAGATTATTAGATAACGTTATTTTTTTTATAAATAATCTCAAAAATATTGCAAGAAAATCCTTTTTTACACATTAAATCTCAATTATTTTGGAGAATTGAAATGCTAATGAAAAATTTAGTTTTCGACACCGTTTTCACAAGTCAAAGTTTAGAAAAATTATTTTATTTGGTTTAACATAATTTTTAGCTGTAATATAATGTTATTTTTATCATTAAAACACATAGAGACACACATACAGGAAAGTAAATACAAAATAATAGCAAAACCTAAAATAACTTTCCTAAAGAAGATAAAAATGAATGATTAACACACATTAAAATATATTTAATGACAAACCAAATTTCCATAAGTAACAAACATAAGAAAATAAAAAAGATATTAAATATTGCAAATTATTATTAACTTCGTTAATTAATAAGTGAATAAAGACAGAGATAAACGTAATAAAAATATATAATGTATATAAATATTCATATAAATGTCCAAATAATATATTTTAAGGTCTCTTAAATATAACAAACTTAATATAAATATTAAAATAATATATTTACGAAATACACTTAAACACGTGTATACATTTTTTAATGTTATTTATTTATTTTTATTTTATTAATTTGGAAATGTAGATTATTTTGTACGATGTGTGTATAAAAATTATTTTGTTTTTTATGTCATCATAATTTGATTTTTGTGAGAATCGACATTAATCTAAGTGAATTATTCTAGCAATATCAATAAGAACGAATAATTATCATAATTTTATATTTTCTAATTGCTACTTATTGTTAGTGATGTATGGTGTTATCACATTTTTAAATTTTACAGATTTATTTCTTCTGATATGGCAAATACTTTCAATGATTTATGGAGCATTATGCCGATTCCTAAAGGTGTATTAAAACTAATAAAATATAATTTGGACATAAAAAAGATTATGGCTATTTGGTCTATGCAGCAGCATTATCCCGTGCTAAATGTTACACGATATTATTCTAGAAATAGTGCGAAAATATTCTTAGAGTTTCAGGCCGACATGGATCAGAATCCATATTGTATACCTGTCACATTTACTGAAGAAGCAAGTATAAATTTTAATGTAACTGGTTCAGATATTTATTTGACGCCCTCAAATCCAAAGTGGGAAATGCAGTTCTTTTTTCCAAAAAAGTGGATAATTTTCAACTTACAACAAATTGGTAAATATTAAATCACGAAGTTTAATATGTTCGTATTTTGTTATTATACAATAAATATATCTTTTTCATTTATTTTGTTTCTTACATTTTCCTATAAAGAATCGTAAATACATTGTAAATACGACAAACAATAAACAATAATATGAAAAATATTCTTTTAAAGTATTCCGCAATATTCCGCAATATTAAAATTTATGATTAAACACACTTTGCATGTAAATGTCATACTAATTTATAACAAAAAATTATTTTAAAACGGACAAAGTCTTCCTTATAGATTTTTGAGTGCTAAAAAGTTGGCTTGCACAATAAAATTTATAAGAATCACCTTGGTTAGTTTAAAATAATGCAAATAATTTAAACTATTGTTACTTTTTTGTATTGTTACTCAGTTGTTGTTTATGTAATTCTTTTATAGATTAATCTGTTTTTCAGAACTGTATATTTTTTTTCAATTATCGACATTTTATTTTATAATTCACAATATATAAGCATTTGCCATTATTTATTGTAAACTATGTGCCTAATTTCTAGTACAATTAATACGCTTTTAAATCATCATAAAATAAAAACATATATATTCGAAATATATTTTACTTCTTATATTTTGACCAAAAAAGTAAATATTAAAATTTAAGTTGTGTGCCGTGTACAGGATTTTATCGCGTTAATTATGATGGCGAAAATTGGAAATTAATTGCGCGTTACTTAAATTCTGAACAGTATACAAATATACATGTTCTGAATCGAGCCCAAATCATCGATGACTCATTCCATCTGATGATACAGGGAAAACTTAATTTTTCCACATTTTGGGAACTCTCGAGTTATTTATGGCAAGAGAAAGATTATGTGGCATGGTATCCTATGTTTAAAGCTCTGGAATACATGTCAAATATTATTCCATTTCTTAATTCTGGATTCTATCCTTCGGAAGTATTTAAGGTATTTTAAATTATATCGATAAATTTTTTTACATATTAGAGGGATCCAAAACATTAATAAATATTTGATGTTTGCTAGAAATATTTAAAAATAAAAAATTAAATATTTTTTTTTTTACATTACATATATTAACATATCATTATATATATATATATATATATATATATATATATATATATATATCGGCTGTGGAGTCTTACGCGATGTCTTTTACGTCTGTTATATGCGAAACTTAATTTTTTCGCTAATTAGAAATAGTATTTTTGGTGTAGTTCTCCAATTTATGTGCTCCCTTTTTTAACTGTAACCCTGTAAAGTTATAGGCGAAAAAAATATCAGCCCGAAAGTCGGTTGAATTAATATTTAAAATGCAGTAAACTCTATTATGCATTTAAAAATTTATGAATACAACAAATAAATGGATCAAATAAAATTATCTTCAAGTATCTGTATATAAATTAATCATATATAATTTAAGTTAATTTTATAAAAAGTGGATGTTAAAAAAGGTCGAATTTTCGAATATCGATGGAACCTAAAATTCGAGTTCCATGGGTACCTATGAACCATATAAGATGTAAAACTGATGATCCTTTTTCTTAGAAACCTGGGAAAAGTATTGAAAATCTATCAAAACTATTGAAAATAGCGTCATTCGGTCGATCTGAAGACAAACTAAAATCGATGACATATAGATAAATTTTCAATGAAACCAAGTTCTGGTTAAACACTTATCAAATAGTTTTCGAGATCAATAATGTTTTAATATAGGGTATGCAAAATTTAAGATTGCGGATCCAATATGGTGGATCAGTATTAAGAGAAACTAGACGCCAGAATGTAGTTACTTCCGAATAAAAGATTTGATTACACTTTCATATACATTATGTTTTTTAGTATGTTTATTTAAATATTTTGTTTTATTGTTGGATAGAATTTTTTAGTTCTAACATAGAGAATATTAATAGTAAATAATTAATATAAAAACTATTAATATTTTCTATGTTAGAACTAAAGAATTCTATTCAACAAAGAAACAAAAATATTTAAATAAACAAATTAAAAAAACATGATGTATTTTAATGTGGAATCAGATCTTTTATTCGGAAGTAACTACATCCTGGAATTTATTTTTTCTCAATACTGATCCACCATATTGGATCCGCAATCTTGAATTTTGCAATCCCGATATTAAAACATTATTGATCTCGAAAACTATTTAATAAGTGCTTAACCAAAACTTGGTTTGATTGAAAATTTATCCATGTCATCAATTTTATAGTTGTCTTCAGATCGATCGAATGATGCTATTTTCAAAAGTTTTGATAAATTTTCAATACTTTCCCCAGGTCTCTATGAAAAAAAACCATCATTTTTACATCTTATATGGTTCATAGATACCCATGGAACTCGAATTTTAGGTTCCATTGATAGTCAGGAAATCGACTTTTTTTATCTCCACCTTTACTAAAATAAATAATAAAGCACTTTAAAATCTAACATGAGACATGCAATAAACTAAATATACAACAGTAAATTTATGTGAATAAAACTATTTTTAATAAACTAATAATTAAAATAAAATAAATATGAAGAATTATTCAAAAACGGTCTTAGTATAATATAACATAAAACCTAAAATATAAGCAAATTAATTTGAATTTTATGATTTATTTTAAAAATATATTACAAAAACTTATCAAATAGAGTTGAAAGTATAAAAATATATAAGGAATACGATAAATTATAACGTTTAATGTGATATATTTTTAAGTACAAACAGAAATCTTACTAATTACTTTACAAATCAATTTTTTAATAAAAGTTGAGTGTTTTTTAATATGTTTTAAAGAATGTAACGTAATATATCATAATTTTTTCAATTGCAAACGCATGTATTACAATGTTGTTGTACAGAATTAAAATGTTTATTTATTATTATATGCATATGTAATATATATGTGTGTATTATATTTATTTTTTATATAATCTAATAGAAAAATATTTTTTGTCCAATTGCAGACAATATTAGGAAAAATAAAAAATCTGTTTGAACGTGTAGAAAATCACATGAACGATGACATGGCATCTAGTAAATACGATATTGATAAATATTTAATGCAGGAAATTGCAAAATGGAGCTGCATTATGAAGAATACTTCATGTATTGAAAAGGCCAGAACACAATTGAGATTGCATGTAGAGAATCCTCAAGAAAATAGGTAAATTTTAATCAAATTATTATATATTTGTATAAACATCTATCTTTAAAATTTTATAAGTATATATTTGATATGTTACCTGATAAGAAATTTATATGTACATAATTATATATGACTGTATGCACTTGTATATGTTCTATTTATATATATATATATATATATATATATATATATATATACACACATATATACACACACACATATATTATATATATTAGGTCGTTCACAAAGTTCTGCGGCTTTTTTACTTTAAATTGAAACAAACATCCATATATCTTTTTCATCATTTTAAGCTGTTTTAAGTTTGCAACAGTAGTATGAGCGATATTAAAGAGTTTTGCGATCTCCCGCGTCGTTAGAAGCCGGTCAACTTCGATTGCGGCCAAAATTTGGTCATCATTGGTGGATGATCGACTGGAGCGAGGAGCATCTTCGAGGTTCATATTTCCAGAACGGAAGCGCGCAAACCAACTCTGGCAAGTGCCGGGGCTTATGACCGAGTCCCCGTACACATCACATATTTCGCGTTGTGCGTTTGTCGCTTTTATTCCTTTCTGATAACAGAATAGCAAAATGTATCGAAAATGTATTTTTTGATCCTTCATTACCAAATAGTACGCGTACAAAACATGTCAAAATGCTACCAAGTTTTTGGCGAAATGCCAAGAGTGATCTAAACTTTCAAATGATATGAGATAAGCCGCGGTTCAAACAGTGCATGTTATGTTTTTCAGCCGTTCAATAAAGCCGTAAATCTTAGTGAGCAGCCTAATACATACGAGGTGTGTTCAAAAAGTATCGCGAATTTTGTGTTTTTTCAAAAATTATTTATTTATTTATGAATATCTATTTTGTCCCCTTCAAAGTAATCCCCACCAGATATTATACACTTGTGCTAACGTTTTTTCCAATCCTCGAAGCACTTCAAAAAATCATTTTTTGTGATCTTGTTCAGCTCCTCCTTCGATGCCGTCTTTATCTCCTCAATCGTAGCGTAGCGTCGTCCTTTCATGGGCCTCTTCAGTTTCGGGAACAAGAAAAAATCACAGGGGGCCAGATCTGGGGAATACGGTGGCTGCGGCATTATTAGTGTGTTGTTTTTGGCCAAAAATTCGATGCTGTTTTTGGTCGAAATTGAGCAATTTTGGTACGAATTTCGCGGCGACCCGTGTCATGCCCAAATCATTGGTAAAAATCGAATGGCACGAGCCAATCGATATGTTTAGGTCCTCAGCAACTTCTCTAACGGTGATTCGACGATTGACCAATACTATTTTCTTCACTTCATCAATGTTTTCGTCTGTTGTTGACGTGCTCGGGCGTCCGGCACGCTCTTCGTCGTTCACATCTTCTCGGCCCTCGGAAAACATTTTGTACCACCGATAAACGTTGCTTCGGTCCAAGGTAGCTGCACCATATGCCACAGTCAACATTCGGAATGCGTCCGCGCACTTAATTTTGTTTTTCACACAAAATTTGATACAGATTCTTTGATCCATTTTTTGGAATAGGCAAAAATCGAAGACGAGCCAAAACACGTGCAAGCAAAGCAGCTGTCAAAAATTAACTGAACATTCAAAATGGCCGTACTTGTCGGCATAAATGAGAAACATGAGTACCAACATAACGCCACAAAAAAATCGAAAATCGAATATACGTAACCCGCGGATATTCAAAATTCGCAATACTTTTTGAACACACCTCGTATATACCCAGATAGCCATAGTAATTATTATGACATCATTTTGACATATATATATATATATATATTTGTATAAAAATTATGTATTAATATATATGTATTTATATATATAACAACACATATGTATAAAGTATGTCCACTTATATGTAAATATATATATATATATATATATATATATATATATATATACATGTATATATATGTTTCTTTCATATTGTACAATATTTATTTGTATATAAAAAATAATTTTTTATATAAATAAATTCTTAGTAAACATTCTGCATAAAAAATTTAATATAAATTAGTCAAGAATTTTTTGATTTTACAAAATATTTTATAAAATATTTAGTTATTTTATACATAAAATATTAATATAAGAATATAGTATATTAACAAAATTAAACAAATCATATATAGTAGGCCAACTGAACGAGCAAATAAATAAGGTGTAAAAATTTTTATTACTAGTTAAATAATTAAATTAACATTCCGTTACAGAATCGATATAAATTGTAAACGTTTCGACTGCACTACAGTCTTTATCAATACATAAAAGTTAAATATTAAAATACAAAGTTAAATGTTAAAAATACAAAGTTAGTTAAATATTAAAATATAAAATTGAAACGATTCTTCGCTGTTGACCAATAGATATGCAAGGCGATTGGTCTGCGATGCCAAGTTATGCGACATTTGAGCATGCTACGGATATAATACGCGAATTAAATCAATGTCAGAGAAAATTAAAAAATCTTTCAACTCACATTATCGTTTTAACAAGTCCTTTTCCCCGATATTTCAAGTGTGTGTTGCGAAGTCTGAATACCAAATGTCAAAATAGAGAGCGTGATGTATTTATTTATTACCAATGTTTTTCTAAATTATGATTCAGCAAATTTTTTAAGTATGTCAAAATAACTACTGTCTAACAATTCGGTGTCTGTATTTAAATTAATTCCATTTTTCTGTTCTTTAATGTGGATCATTTCAGATATTAGTCTTTTATGGTAATTCTTTTCATGATCCATAATTTTAATATTGTCCCAGTCAAATGTATGTTGTTCGTTTAGAATGTGTTCTGTGACAACCGAATGTCTAGCAGAGTCTAATTTAATATTATTTTTATGTTCTTTAAGTCTCGTTCCTAACTGTCTTTTTGTCTGTCCGACAAATGTGGCGGTTTCTCTGACATTGATTTAATTCGCGTATTATATCCGTAGCATGCTCAAATGTCGCATAACTTGGCATTGCAGACCAATCGCCTTGCATATCTATTGGTCAACAGCGAAGAATCGTTTCAATTTTATATTTTAATATTTAACTAACTTTGTATTTTTAACATTTAACTTTGTATTTTAATATTTAACTTTTATGTATTGATAAAGACTGTAGTGCAGTCGAAACGTTTACAATTTATATCGATTCTGTAACGGAATGTTAATTTAATTATTTAACTAGTAATAAAAATTTTTACACCTTATTTATTTGCTCGTTCAGTTGGCCTACTATATATGATTTGTTAATTTTGTTAATTTATACGAGCCTTTCATTAATTAATTATAGTATATTAAATATTTTACAAGATGTTTTGTATTTTTATATTAAAATATGTCAGATATAAAATATCTAGTTCTATTTTTTGGTTATATTACTCTTATGATTTTTTATGCAAAATGTTACAATAAATATATTTTCATAAATACACTTAAAGTTGTGCCATTAAAATAAATCGAGTTAATAATTAATATTATTATTATTTATGTTTATTATTATTAATTATATTTATTGTAATTATAATATTTGATTATATTTATTTTTTATGTTTTGAAAGATTATATGCTAATTAATGATATATAATAAATATGTTAAATAAAAAACATTTCTTTTTTTGTATGTCGTAGGATTTTGCCTGGGTGGCAGAAATGGATATATTG